CCCCAAAACCCCAAAACCCCAAAACCCCGGAGGTGCCAAACAAGGTTGAGTTAAAGTGTTTGGGTTATGGGTCCTGGGTGGAAACTCAAGTTTGGGAATAGGGAGGTGGGAGATTAGGGTGGGGGAGGGGGATAGAGGAGAGGTTGGGAGGAAGGAGGGAGTGAGGGAAATGGGTTTGGGGAGGTTATGTTAGATATCAGGTTTTATGTCATGGGTTGTCTTTTAAAGTAAATTTCTTTATGGTAAAGGTAAAGATTGATTATGATAGACCTCTCTTTTAGTGTGTTTATACTTCTCGCTCAAACTAAATTTGAAAGCAAAATATGATTCGCTTTCAAGATGAATCAAAATAGTTTAATAACTCTTTTTGCTAGCACAGATTTTTGATTAGCTTTCTTATTGGGTTTATATTTAATCAGTTTATTAAAAATATTTATTTAATGAAGCTCATCTCAAATTTTCTTAATAGTCTGATTCTGAAATGTCTTGAAAGTAGTTTTTAAGTGCAGAGTTTGGCAATTTCTTTTCTTCCTCAAAATTTTTTGATTTATTGACTGAGAGCTCTAAATAATATTTCTGGATATTTACCTTCTTCGTCAATTTGTTCTTTTGTTTCCTCCATTATTACATTTTTTCTTGGAGTGAATTCTCCCAGCCTTCTTATAATATTGTGTTAAAAATAAAGAGATTGATAGATTAATATTTTATGCTATTCTTCTTTAAAAATAATATCTAAACTTTCAAAAGAGTTGATAGCTCTGGATATTGCTAAACTAAATACATTCTCCTTTTCGTGAAATAAAAAGATTAATAATTTTGCCTCTTTACCATTCAGGTCGAATTAGAGTATTGTGCATTCATTTATTTACAAATAATATTCAAAATGATTCTAATGATCTTCCTTTATAGTTTATCAGCCTTCTAATGAAACTAATCGAAACTTCTATCGAGCATCAAGTTAATGGAATGTAAAACCCTACTCTTGCAGGGGTCATGAATTATTTGGAGATTTCTTACTTCAAAGCAAACATATTCCCTAAAGGTAAACTCTCTTCTAAAGTTGGTATTCTTTCTCTTTGTTCAGGTTTCTTCTGTAATCTTTCAGATGGTTTGATCAAGCTCTTTGTCCTCATTGAGCTTAGTTCTATAATTAAGAGTGGAAGATTACTGCCAAGAACCAGATTTTTGTCTGTTTGACTTAGACCTTCTAGGGATACTAAATTTCCTGCTAGTTTGTTGAGGTTGAATGAATCCTAACATAAATAAGCCTAAAATACCCTCTTGGATGTCTTTTCCAGTTTTATAAATTTCCTACAAAAGATAGAAAGAATGTTACTTTTGTAATTTATGTTTTCTCCTATTAGCTCCTATATCAGCAAGTTATACTACAAAATAAATTCTAAATTTACCTTTGATATATTTCTTGTTCTTAAGTCTCTTTTGGGACCTTTTCTTCTTCTTTGATCGGACTACAGATCCTAGAAGAGATAAACCCTGAGTGCAGAGAAAGCTTACCTAGAAATTTCTTCTTAACTTTCTTAGTCTCCATTTGTATTTTCTTTTTGAGCAGGACTCTTCCAAAGAGAGTGAGGATCTATACTAGATTCGGCAGGACTTACTGGGCGGATTAATCTGTACTTCTTCCTGTAGAGCATTAAGAATTGGTATATCCAATCGAGGATGAAATAGGCATTGGATATGAATACAACGATCATCATTAAAAAGTTGAGTATGTTTACTTCTTCATCTCGAGAGTAGATCAACCCTGCTGCAAGCATGATTATTCCTGCATTAGATCCTGTTATTTCTAGGTAGTTAAAAGACTCTTCTCTGTATGGCTTAAGCTTGCTGTTGAGCCTGGTGAATCCTATTAATACAAAGAGAGCTCAAAAGAGCCTTGTTGTAGTGTTGAATGGGAATGTAATGATTACTGATATTTTTCGAGCAGTATTCACGAACTCCCAATAAAATTTATCCTCTTTCAAGCCTTGGACAAGAATCAAAAAGTATACTTTAATCTTATTTTGGCCTGGCTGATTGATATATTTAATCAGAAGGAGGAGGGCAATGCATGGTACTGAGATTACCCAAACAAATATTATTGGAGCTGCAATTGTATATATGTATCCCAAATGGTCATCAGAATATCACTCAATCTGCATATCGAGGCGTACTTGACTGATGCCATCCTCTATATCGACGCATCTGAACAGCTCAAAGCTTCTCTTGGTGATAGCTGGATGGAGAAGAAACAAAATTGAAATAAAAGATATCACAAGATTTCTCTCGAGGCTTTTAACAAAGGGTGGCTTGATAAGCTTAATAATTACCCATATCAATGAAACAATGATGAAGAGTATAATTGGAAGAAGACCCATTAAAAATAGTTTGAATAATGCATTTGATTCAAAAGGTCCTTTTATCTCATAGTCTTCTACAAATCAATCAAAAGATAAAAAAGCCTCTGTTGATGTCCCAACCTCATCCGTAACAGAGAATGCAGATATAAATGATTCTGGATAGCTTGATGTCAGGCTGATGGCTGTGGATACCAATTGAATATAATTTGTTAGAATTCTGAACAAGACTGATAAATTACTTTCCTTTGTCTTCTTAACATTGATAATTATCAAGACCATGAAAAAACAGAACACTAGAAATCCGACTCCAATAACTTTAAAAGCATTTGCTGCAGGATCAGGGCATTTCTCACATTCGTAGTCTCCTACTCGAGCGTATTTACTATCATCAATGATCACTCATTGGGTGCATAAAACCCCAGAATATCCATCCAGTCATTGCACAGGATGGGTTAAATTAGGGAAATAGCCACCTTTTCATGCTTTGGAAATCAAACATTCTTTAATTTCAGTAGAGTTTGCTGTGTTTCTCCAGTACCCAGAATTGACTTGTATTTGTTCATTCCCGGGTCAAAAGGCATCTCTGATTCATTTTTCACAACTCGTAGAATTCCAAGCCAGCGAATAAGTACCTGCTGATCATTTAGTGCATAAGTTGTCGGTACTAATCTGTTCGCCAGGTTTTCAGAATCTGAAATCTACTGTGATTTGGTTTGATAGAAGAGAACTCCCGAAAGATTGAGATACTTTTGTATTATCAATAGCTTTGGACACCACATTATATTTAACACTCTTGCTTCCAATGATAGATACAAACTGGATCGCATCAAATTCTGAAACTCCATTTTTCATTTGTACTGTATTTGTTCCTAGAACAGAGGAGTTTTGACTATTTGAAGCAAATATGGAGATTTGATCAGCACTGTTCATCACAAGAGTTTGGTTATCAAAGTCTAATAATGATAGCTTTATCAAATATCCAAGTTCTACTCCAGATCCAACATTAGATATGTTCATGTCTGAATGAATGTCTTGCTCCATTCGAATCTTGACCGGATAGCTAGCAATTTCTGGTCCATATTGAGCAGAGTTATTAACAAAATTACAACTCGAAATAGCTGGATGTTTATAGTTGAAATTTATAGCTCCCCCTTGAACAGATGCTTTGTTGTTAGTAAAATTTACATTCTCTAATTTTAAATCTCAAAGTATCAAAGAAGTGCATTCTAAAGCAACTGCTCCTCCTCTTGTTGCAAAATTTTGATTGAAAGTAGAGTTAGCTATAATTGCTTTACTGTTTTGTAAGAGAATGGCTCCTCCTACACTTGAGGCTATATTTCCATTATGGCTAAAAATAGATCCATTAATCATATCTATAGTGGTCTGAATAGCTTCAAGAGCTTTCAGGCAGCTCTGGATATCAATATCTTGCAGTAATTGTACATGGGAGTCAGTAAATGATATAATATTTTTGATTGGATTACTTCTTACATTGAGCCCAATTATTACAATTTGAGAGGACCTTGAAAACAAAAACATGCTCTTTGAAGTCACGGTCGAATTTATAATTTCAATATTTTGCAGCACTGATTTGTCCGAATTTTTAACTTGAATTAGGTCATTTGAATTCTGGATGTTTAAGATGGACACTCGGTTCAAATATAGTTCACTAGAACTAATTCTGCAGAGTGATGCATTTGATGATTTGTAACTAACATCTGTAAGTTTAATGTTACTCCCTACATCTCCAAGAATAAGTTCAGAGTTTAAATTTCCCAGTATTTCTTCAAAAGTCACATTATTTAATGTGATGTTCGAAGTGGCAACTTGAATAGAAGTTGAAATAAAAGATATATTTGTGAAAGTTGAAGAATCAATTTGAATGTCAGACATCAAGCTTAATAGAGGATAGCTTTCTGAGTGTATTTTTGAGTTATTTTTAATATGAAATGACCCTGATATTACTTCAAAAAGCACTTTTGAATTTGTTATGTTGTGTAAATTATTTGATGTAACATATTGTTTGAATTCTGTGTTTAAAAAACAGAGCTTTGAGCATGATGCCATCTCTGATGTATATTCAATACTTGATATAGGGGTATTTAAGAATAATTCAGAGTTGTCGATTGTACTGATTTCAGAAGCATCAAAGATCTTGGCAAGAGGCACTTGAATGGCATGGTTTTCTGTTATTGTAGAGTTAACAATATTAAAATGACCATTACTGAGGACTTCGATCAAGCCTCCAGAGAGGGCAAAATTGTTGTTGATAGTGCATTTCTCTCACTGAGCATATGAGCCAGTTTCAATGGTAAACAAAGAAGCTATGAGTCCATAATTTTGAGTAAACACTCAATTAGAAATGATAAGTTGGGAATTATACTGACAATGAAATAATGTAGACCTTTCAAAAAGTGAAGCAGTTTGAGTAAACACAGAATCCACAATAGTTAACTTCACATTATTTTTGATTTGTATGGCTGCAATGCTTTTAACAATGTTGTTTGAAAAGGTGCAGTTTTCAAATCTAACAAAAGTTTTGATGGTTGAGTCATCACTCGATCTATCCAAGAGGATTGATGATGAATCTGAGCTGTTGAAATGTGAGTTGGCAACTACAATTTCATTGACTAGGTTATGACTGAATTTTAGATAGTTTCCATTTCTTGTGTAATTGACTCTAACAAATGTGAAGTTGTCCATACTGATTTTGATATTTCCATTACCAATAAATCCAGATGTATCAACTAGGCTCCTTGAGCTTGGTATAGTCATATCATTAAAATAAATATTGGAAAATTTGAAGGTCTGCTCTCCTGACGAGCTACCAGAAAGTGTTCCAATTTTAAATAATGAGATTTGTCAATTTGACATTTGAATATTTTGGATAGTAGAGTTGAGATCATCCTGAAGGTTCTTATCTTGTATTTTTAGTATTGAACTTTGAACATCTGAAGTATCAGCGACTGTTACTCCACTGAAGATGGCAGAGTCAAATTGGATGCTTTTAATGTTCTTCAGGGAAATGAGATTACTGCCGGAGTTTATAACAGAATCTGTAACTTCAATATCATTCAGAGTTACTACGTTTAAAGGTGTCTCTGTGAATATGAGTGAAGAAGATTGAAAATTAGATGAACACACTTTCATTGATTTTATATTGAACAAAGAGTTTGAGAATGCATTGAAGTATAAAAACTGAGGTGAAGTTTGGGGAGTCACAACTAAAGATTTTATCTCAATATTATGAAGCTCAAAGTCAACTATATCTTGAATGATAAGAGCTGATGGAGTTGAGATAGAAATGGTATCCATATAAATATTAGTCTGATTCTGAGAACTGTCTCCTATTCTTACTTCTCCGAATCCTCTTAGGAATATTATTGAATTTAATAAAGTGGAGTTAGTAAAGTTCATGCTTTTTAACTGAATCTTTTCCATTGCGCTTCACACAAGACCTAATATAACAAGGTTTTGAGATGTATAATTAGTGAATAGTAGATTGTCTGCTACAATTTCTGTGGGTCTGTAATGAGGATACGATAAATCTCCGTAGAATCCATTGATTTTAAACAGAGTTGGATCAATAACACTAAAAAATGCTCCATCTATATCAATAATCCTAGTTAAATTATCATCAGGGACTCATTGAGGGAACTGAAATATTCCCAGGGAGAAGGAGATATCATTGACAGAGCCATAGAACTTAGTAGCATCCAAGTTCCTGATGGTCCAATTCCCAGGGGAGTTCGAATCGATCCCTGAAGGATTCCTACTCAATGGTCGCTCTTGAGAGTTGATCATCGTATAATTTCTAACGTCCACCGTTGATAATTTGTATGCTTCAGGGTAATTTCATCCAAAATACATGACTAAGTTCTCTGTGAGAGGGTAAGTATCAACTACAGAATCATAAATTACTCTATATATAGAAGATTCAGCTTACAGGTTCAATGGGTCCACAGTCATCATAAATGTCCCACTGGTATTGATGGAGGTGTTTACTTTTAGTTATATCTATCAAAACTTACTCAGCTTAAAATCTAAGTTTTGCAAATAGATAGCCTGCACAAACAGATTGGAAACCATCCGTTCCCTGTATATGTCAATGTTATTTATCTCAAGTCCTGTTCTGATAAGTGAGTTTGAAGCTATAGAATTAGTGTTACAAGTTATCTTTGCAAAGTTTTAATAAAAATCATTGAGTTTTTGAAAATATGAGTACTAAAGATATAATTTCAATTTGAGAAAAATTTTCCAATCTCTTTATTATAGAATAGAAGAGAGCCTAATTGGGACACCCTCACAATTTTGGAGGACTCTTTTGTTAATGAGGCAGAACTTATTTCTAAGTATATTTATGGAATATCTAAGATTTTGAGTTCAAAATTTTATATTGTGACTGGATCCTAAATTAATTTTCAGTTTGAGCTCTAAGACTGACATACCTAGGTTATTTGCCTGTGTCTTTTCGGAGGTTGTAAAATTTCCATTGTTTATTAAATCAGTAATAGGGAGACCAGTATTTGTGAGAAGGTGGCGCCTTGCTTTCTTGCTAATTCCTATCTGCTCATACTCTGTCAAAGTAAGAATAGCCTTGCGACTCCAAGAAATATATTCAGGATGAGTTGTAATTTTTACATTAGTGATATTCACAAAGAACATTGTCCGATCCTGGAGATATGCATCTTTGCTGTAGATAATAATTTCTTTTTGGTGATGAGAGAGATGGTTTAAAATCTCTGATGTAACAGATTTGAGACTTCTGTATGGATACTGCTTAGTGCCTAGCTCTATAACTTCAGTTGATGTCGGGTCAACGTAATATTCAAAATCTCTGCAAACGCTTGAAAAAGAGATTTGAGATCCTGTAAGCTCAATTTGGGAGGAACTATCTCAATTAGTTACGCATTGTAGTGTTTTCAAATCCAAGCTTTGTCCTGCTGGTCAAGTGAGTCAACTACTTTGGTATGCTCATGATCTGTTGCAGGTATTGGGGCAAACTCTACAGATTTGGGATGTGGAGTCTAAATATTCACCATCAGGGCAATGGTTTCAAAGTCCAGTTGCTATATTATAAAGCATAGATTCTTCTCAAGAGTCTCAGACTCCATCTGTAGATCATGTTTTTCATGAGGATTCACACGGTTTTCAGCCATTTTGTTTGGTCTTGATTAAAGTTATACTTTTAGAGCAAAATTAATGCTCTATTCTCTGTATATTTCCAAAAATTATCAAAATCATTTGAATCATGCTCAAAAAATTTAGAAATTATTGAAAACACCTCAAAAATTCTCATAAACTAGATGATCATAAAATTCGAATTTCATAGTTCAAAATATGTCTTATTTGGTAACTCCCAAACGATTTCTATTTAACCCTAAACTTGGTCTGAGCCCACATTCCAAGTCTGAGGGATCGCTTAAAATATAGTTGTGCTTACATTGGAAGAGTAAAAGCCGTCTTGGCATCAGATAGTGAGGTTGAGCAACATGCATAACCATATGATAGCCTAAATGCGTGTTAGAGTTCAAGGAATATAATAAAAATGAGTATGTTTCGCAACCATAACTTGTCCTTCTGGGTTGGGAATTGGGTAAATTTGAGTCTTTGCCACGTTATGGGTTCAAGTAGAAGTAGGGATCTAGATTTTCGAAATATTTTGGGTGGATCAAATTTTTGTGATTCTTGAAGCTAGGGTGCGTTTTAAATAGAACATTTCGTTTTTCTTAAAATTTTTGGGGTTCGTGATTATGGATATTTTGTTAATGAAGCTTTAAAAATATAGGTTGGTGCTCGATTGAGCATATATAGCTCAGTTTCCAAACTGTTGAAAATAGCCAAGTTTAGTAAAGGTTTAGACTTCCTTGGAGGACTAATTAAATCCACAATGACAACTTGGATGAGCACTTTGACTCTGCAAGTGGGAAGTTTTGAGCCTTCAGGTAATGAAACTCATTTGGTATCATCTTCAAGTTCATTTTACTTTCAGTAAATGAAGCTGTTTGTGACTTGGTTTGTAATTTTTCACTGATTTTATATTTTGATGAAAGCAGAAGGCAATCTGATTGCATTTATGAGCTTACCGTGATTCCTGATATTATATTGGTAGACATATTATTTATGATTATTAACTTATTCTGTTTTTTTAATATATTCCGGGGTTTTGGGGTTTTGGGGTTTTGGGGTTTTGGGG